CATCATAGCTCACAGCAACCTCCAACTCCTGGGCTCAAGCGAGTCTCCTGCCTCAGCCTCCCAAGTAGCTGGGACCACAGGTGCCCACCACAACGCCTGGCTATTTTTTGGTTGCAGTCATCGTTGTTTTGGTGGGCCCAGGCTGGATTCGAACCCGCCACCTTAGGTGTATATGGCTGGTGCCTTAGCCACTTGAGCCACAGGCGCTGAGCCATATATATATTTTTTTCATGCTATAAATTTTGGTTTTAATCATTTCAGATAACCTTTATCGGAAAGGATGGAGTTGGGAAAAGGAAACCTGCTCAGGACTGGACTGAATGCCTTATATCAAGCCATACACCCAATCCATGGCCTTGCCTGGACCGATGGGAATCAGGTTGTCCTAACTGATTTACAGCTGCACGATGGAGAGGCCAAGTTTGGGGACTCCATAGTCATTGAACGATTTGAATATGTCTGTGGACTGTCCTGGGCCCCAGCAGATACAGTTGACAAACACTCTCTGCTTGCAGTCCAGCACAAGAAGTGTGTCACTGTGTGGGTACTGGGTCCCAGGACTATGGAGACGAGCAAATGGCTGATGAGTCAGGCCTGTGAGACTCGAGAATCTCTTCCTGTCCTTCCCCAGGGTTGTTTGTGGCACCCAAAAAATGCTGTCCTAACTGTGTTGACTGCACAGGATGTTTCTGTTTTCCCTAATGTTCACTGTGACAGTAGCCGGGTCAAGCTGGACATCAACACCCAGGGTCGCATTCACTGTGCATGCTGGACCCAGGATGGCCAGAGGCTGGTGGTGGCAGTAGGTAGCAGCCTTCATTCTTATATTTGGGACAGTGCTCAGAAGGCTCTTCACAAGTGTTCCTTCTGCCCAGTGTTTGATGTGGACAGCTGCGTCTGCTCCATCAGTGCAACTATGGACTCACAGATTGCCCTAGCCACTGAGCTTCCACTAGATAAGATCTGCGGCCTAAATGCATCTGAAACCTTTGATGTTCCACCTAATGGCAAAGACACTTCTCTGTATACTTTGCCAGTTATTGGTAAAGTGCCCTCTGTGACTCCAGGGGCAGTCAATTCTGAAACAAATTCTGAAATATCACTTTCTCCTTCCTTTTCTTCTTCCTGTTTAGATCCTCTGGACCTAACTCATATACAATTCAATCAACGTAGGTCTGAAGGTAGTTCTCTGATTTCTCTAAGAAAAAAGGACTATTTGACAGGAACTGGTCAGGATTCTTCACATTTAGTTCTCGTGACCTTTAAGGAAGGTGTTACCATGAGCAAAAAAGTCACCATTCCAGGCATTTTGGTTCCCGATCTAATAGCATGTAATCTAAAAGCACAGGTCGTGGCCGTGGCTTCTAACACTTGTAATATAATTTTGATCTATTCTGTCATTCTGTGCTCCGCACCAAGCTTCCAGCAAATTCACTTAGAGAATACTGAAAGACCAAAAGGCCTATGTTTCTTGACAGACAAATTATTGTTGATTTTGGTGGGAAAACAAAAAAGTGCTGATTCGGCATTTCTTTCTTCTTCGATGTTTGACCAGTATGTCCTTCACTTGATTGTTAAAGAAGTAACGCTGGAAAAACAATCCTCCGTAACGTCAAATGAAAGCCAGAGTGGCTGCTCTACTTCCAGCGCCCTGTTAAATAAAGCAAATAGAATAAAGTTAATCGAAAATCTTTCCCCAGGTTTTGGTTACTCAAACAGAGGGCTCTTATCAACAGCTAATACTAGTAGTCAGAGTGGAAAGCATGGAAGAAGGCTTATTGAAGAAATCCAAAGTCCACCGTCCAGTATCTGTGATGGCTCCATAGACCTAGAAACAGTAGGCGCCCAGCCCAGGAACCAACCAGCAACACTGCCCCAGCACAGCAGCACTCCAGACCACACCAGCACACTAGAGCCTACTAATTTGTCTCAATGGAATAACTTGCAAGGGGAAAAGGAAACTTCCTATTTAACTAAGGAAGTGGAAAATTTATCTAGGAACCTCACTGAAATGCAGCAATGTCTTTCTGAACTCACGGACTTTCTGCATAACGGGAAGAAACCCTCTTCTGTGTATCCACCCTTTCAGGATCCTCCTTACGTTCACGTCATTTACCAGGTAACTTCTCCGTGGAGGCGCTATCACTGTACATGAAAGCTCCTGCAGTCAGTGGGTACTGCGAGAAACATGTATTGAGGAGGAAGATGGTGTTCTAATTGAACTTCACTAAACTGGGCATGTTATGTTACAGGCAAGCTGGCATACCTTTGCAGGTTAGTTAGTTGTTAAGCCTGCAACCAGATGGGCACACGTACTAGTTGATGCCATGATTTTATCACATGCACATTGTGAAAAAGATGAATGGCTAAAGTCATTCTGGCAATTTGTATTTAGGAAAGAATTTTTTTTTTTGAGACAGAGTTTCACTTTGTCACCCTCAGTAGAGTGCCAAGGCATCACAGCTCACAGCAACCTCAAACTCTTGGGCTTAAGCTATTTTCTTGCCTCAGCCTCCCAAGTAGCTGGGACTACAGGCATCTGCCACAATGCCTCACTATTTTTTTGTTGCTGGCCCGGGTCGGGTTCAAACCCATCACCTTTGGTGAATGTGGCTGGTGCCGTAACCACTTGCTACAGGTGCCAAGCCAGGAAAGAAATATTTTAATCATGTTATTTCATTGTGAAAACATTTTCCTTATGTAAGAGAGATAATCTTTTAGTTATGAAAATGTTATGTTTTTTAAATGGAGTTTTTTTTACCCTTTTTTTTTTTCAGTTTTTGTCCAAGGCTGGGTTTGAACCTGCCACCTCTGGCATATGGGGCCAGTGTCCTAGTCCTTTGAGCCACAGGTACCACCTGCATGTTT